CTTTATATGTGTCAATTTGGGAGCTGCTAGCTTTCCTAGAGTCCCATCAATATTTATTCGTATTTAATGAGTCTTTATCTTATCGGGTTCATCTTCTGTATTAGTTGTGTTGTATTAGGTTTACCAATTTATAAAAAAAGTGACTAAAAAAGATTTGTGCTCTAATCTCGGGTGATAGTAACGGTTCATATTATATTTTGACTCTCTTAACAATAATATTATTTTAACTTAATTTACTAATATAATCCATTATCAAATTTAGGAATCCTAGAATTGTGACTGTGTTTGAAAAACTATGGATTTTCAAAATTGGGAATTTTTTCTATGATAATCATTCACGCTTGAAACACATTTTAATTCTCAATTCAAATTTTGTAATAGAGTTTTGAATTTTTTTTTCTTTTTTTTTAAATGATTATCAATCAATGGTTATGATTGGTTCTATTGGAGGGGCCCATGGGAGTGCGAGTGAACTTATGGGCGACATAAACAATGTATTTCTGTGGGGTTCAGTGTTCATTTTCCTTTCTGCCACGTACGTGTGTCACGAACTCTCTTCAACCCGTAGCCGTGTCTTATGCCCATACACATGGCAGATTTATAGAACTAGAAATTAGAGAAAGGAAAAAGGGTGAATGACACCATTCATTGCTTTTTCTTACAAATTTTTTTTATCATATTTGTCGTAATATCTTATTTTTTATATACAATTATTTACATATAATTAATTTTAAGTTTTTAAATTAAAATTTNTAAATTTACTGTTAAGTCAGTCTTAAATTGTGGTGTCAATCCGTGTATTCAACTCTTCTGAACCATTACTCTTCGGCGCCTTTTGGGTTTCATAACAACTACATCTTTATATGTGTCAATTTGGGAGCTGCTAGCTTTCCTAGAGTCCCATCAATATTTATTCGTATTTAATGAGTCTTTATCTTATCGGGTTCATCTTCTGTATTAGTTGTGTTGTATTAGGTTTACCAATTTATAAAAAAAGTGACTAAAAAAGATTTGTGCTCTAATCTCGGGTGATAGTAACGGTTCATATTATATTTTGACTCTCTTAACAATAATATTATTTTAACTTAATTTACTAATATAATTCATTATCAAATTTAGGAATCCTAGAATTGTGTCTATGTTTGAAAAACTATGGATTTTCAAAATTGGGAATTTTTTCTATGATAATCATTCACGCTTGAAACACATTTTAATTCTCAATTCAAATTTTGTAATAGAGTTTCGAATTTTTTTTTCTTTTTTTTTAAATGATTATCAATCAATGGTTATGATTGGTTCTATTGGAGGGGGCCATGGGAGTGCGAGTGAACTTATGGGCGACATAAACAATGTATTTTTGGGGGGTTCAGTGGTCATTTTCCTTTCTGCCACGTACGTTTGTCACGAACTCTCTTCAACCCGTAGCCGTGTCTTATGCCCATACACATGGCAGATTTATAGAACTAGAAATTAGAGAAAGGAAAAAGAGTGAATGACACCATTCATTGCTTTTTCTTACAAATTTTTTAATATCTTATTTTTTAAATACAATTATTTACATATACTTAATTTTAAGTTTTTAAATTAAAATTGTGTGCACAATTTTCTTAAAATGGAGCATACTATTATATTTTTGTTTGACTAAGAGTATAATGTAAAATTTTCATTAGTGTAAATTAAGAATGCGAAGATCTTTGAGTGTGAATTAGTTCATTAGTAAGAACAAACTGTCCAAGTCAAACTCGTTCCTATCAGCCGATTTCTACCATCCCGATAGTTAGGCCGATAATTGAGTCGCATGTCAATTAAAAAATTGTTAGCTCAACGATTTTACATATAAAAAAATCGAGTTTTGCAAGCTTGAGCCAAATGAGTTTAAAAAATTGTTCAAACTCGGCT